GTAGTTTATGAGTTCATCGCGGACAAACAACGTAACACGTAATTTTTATATATAAAGATATATATTGACTTATTATTATTGTATTCTTTTTGATTCTCTTTATCAGATTTGATTCCTTCGCCAACTGGAGTACATGGGCTTGCACATTACTGTCCGGTAATTATTTGTCTATCTCGTAGTCACTGAAAAATAAATAGAATGATAATAGTTTTAAAATTATATTTTACGGCTAACTAACGCAGGCGAAGTCGTGGATGAAAAGCTAGTTTACCCACATAATTCGGTTCATCGTTCAAATTTCTGTGAGAGCGTAGTCCTTCCCCGGTCGAGCCGACCCACTCGTGCTATAACTATACTACTAATATAGCGGCAGCATGGCTATACCACGTATAAAAATTTTACTAATCAAATCTTTGTATCTCGAAAATTTTAGTGATACGGACCACTTCTTCTAACGGACTTATATTATTACTGGACTGGAAAATTAAAAATTTTGTACAACCGATTTCAATAAAACTCAATTACAACATAATATATGTATGGTTGAAATGATTTCCATAAAATTTGTATGTGACCAACTGTAAACAAAAAAGAATCTCCTACCAGTCAACCTATGTAGATACAATATTATGTAAGGTGGTAAGGTACTTACCACCTTACATAATATTGTATGTACATAACGCGTAGGTACTTACCTGTGGAGCACAGAACTGTTGATTTTAGAAGACGTTGCCCGTCCTTTCGATTTACGAAGCAAATTGCATTTTTTTAGTTTTGTCTATAATCTTTCTCTTCTATTCTAAAATGTATAAAATTATTTTAGTTGAATGAATGTAATACTCATCTCATCATCACTCACATAGTAGGTAGATAGGTTGATACTTACATAAAAAAAATAACAGCTCACTTCTATAAGGTATATGTAGTAAGTCCCCACTTAATGTCCACATAGACTATGCAATATAATAAAATTGTAAAGTAACACAAACAAATTCATTATGTAACTTGTCGTAAATGTAAATATGAAAAATGTAGGCTAAGAATGAATGAACGCTCCCGCTGTTGTTATTGTAGTGTGCGTGAGAATTAGTGTAATATGTTGTATTTGTGTTGTTCACGCCCGGAGTCCGGAGGAAGGCAGAGCGTGAGTTATGAAACAGATAGCATTTTTGAAAATACCTACTCGCGCCACATATCGGCACTTCACAATGCTTTGACACTGGCAAAAGCACAACCGTACAAGTCCAGTACTAAGGGTGTATACATTCTTTGATTAAGGCAAGAAGAGAAATGTCAATGTCATTTTTAATTGATTTCATAAATATCCGAATTGCGAAGCTCATAATTTTCTTCTGTGCTATAATATAAAATTTACATATTATTTATTGTTATATGAAAGAAAACCGCAAAAACTACGCTTATATTCGTGCCTAAAGATGGGAGACGGATCTAATAGTAATGGTAGTCTTTTATCTACAACATTTTTAAATTCGTAGAATGATGATTATTTTAATGTTATTATAATATTACATACCTTTAAAACTCTTTTCAGGAGAATATAATATGCTTAAAGCTCTATATGATTTTGAAGCCACATTAGCGAAAACCTTAAGTTTTACAGAAGGCGAATTTTTTTTTCTACATCAAACCAACACAAAACAGCGGAACTGGTGGCATGTTGTTAATAGAAAAGGTCACGTTGGCTTCGTTCCGTCGAACTATGTAGCATCAGTCCAGGTAAAATTAGTAGTGTACTAATCAACATAATAATTCAACCTTAAAACAAAGCTATATTTCCTCCGCTCATTAGATTAAAATTTGTATCAACTTTGCAGGTTGAACCGGATTTTTTTCTAGCATTTCTGAATGATTGTATTAATAATCTCAATGAAAATAATACAATGTCATCACAAAAACAAGAAACATTGGCTAGATTAAATGAACAAAGAAAACAAGTTCAACTTTCAATTAAACCACAGTCAAAGAAAGCTCCAGCACCAAAACCTCCACCACGCTGGGATGATTCCACACCTCCAAATGGAGTTTCACCATCATTTGACTTGAGACCAATTGTTTCACAGCAACAGGTGACTGAAGAACATGAACCACCACTGTCTCCAACTAAAACAGAAAACAGTGTTTCACAAGGTAAGTTAAATTTATGAGTTTCTATTTTGTTTCCTTAAGATTAAAATATGTCTTCTGTCGTAATATCTGTTAAACAGTAAAAACAGCCAGGATGGCTTGACACCAGACTGTCCATATAGATGCCGCAGATTAAATAACTTTGTTGCCGGTTTCATAACATGTTCATATTTATGGAAAGGCTTGTTGATGGACAAAGCTAGATAACAAATAATTTTAATTCTGTAATTCATTGATGGATTCGAAAATATTGCCAGTTGAAAATTGTTAATTAAATCGCCACAATTCAGCTCTTGTGATTTTATCTCCTATTTAGTATTTTCTTGTTTATTATTTCCTGAAAAGTATCGAGAAATATAAATTGTCTTTAATATTTTCAGATAGTTTTGTGCTTTCATGCACTTTTGTTGTGAATTTAATATTTTAAATATACCTTTTCTTATATTTAAACAAGTTTATTACTTTTTACATTTTCTAATACGTTTACACTTTTAGCACTAATGTTATATTATAATATAAACTTAGGTGACAAAAATGTTTTGATTATAGTTTATTATATAAGCTATGTCATTATTCCCATATAACACAAGAAAACACGAATTAATTAAATTATGAAACTTTTTGGCCTGGGTAGTATTAGATAGCCGCAATGATGTTTACTGTTGAAGGGATATAACACTAAAATAATGGAACCAATTAGTAATTAAATTTAAAGAACTTGTGAAAGCAATTCTGTTTCACGTTTTTTTCTCATTTATACTATCTTATAAACTGCTTTGTTCTTTTTACTTTCTACTTTTTACTGCTTTCTCAGTGTATACATATACTTTCTTGCAAAAAAAATATATAGAAGTTTATATTGAAATAAGTTTTGTCCTATGATTTAATAATTGAATTTACCAGCCAGTAATTCATGTTTAACATATATTTAGTGATGAGTTTCTGAATTTTCAACAACAATTGAATTATTAGCAAGGTGCTTGTTTGAACTACCAATACTACTAGTTTTTAATTAGTTTCCTCAGTGTTACATTTTAGAACAGGGATGTATATCATTTAAAACATCACATTGCTTCCATGTTCTTATTTTTGAACTTTTTCTTGTGTAAAATATAAATGTTAGTAATAGAGCAACTTTAATAAAATTATCGTTAAGAGTGTTACCACACCTATCAATCGACGTCGATCGATGATTGAACAATGTTTTATCAACCGGTATCAATTGATCGACATTGATCCATGTCGATCAATGGCACAATCGATTGACTGGTGTGGTAATGCCCTAAGTGAATCGAGTACCCCATATAATCCTGTGGTTGTGGAATGAAACAGGAAATGGGCAGCAATATCTTCCTGATGATAATTCAAAATAATAAAAAACTGTGGTTATCAACCTGCCTGCCAAGCATAGTAACTAAGACCAATATCCCTACTAATAGTCAATCTAAGGGAGAGGCCTGTGTTCATTAGTGATCTCTTAATATGCTTTAACTAGTTAGGTGAGACTAGTTATTTCCTTGTTCATATTTTATGTATAATATTCACTACCTATAGAGAATATTCACTACCCCATATCATCCTGTGGATGTCTTAAGAATCGACAGAAGGAAACAAATCAGGAGATGGGCAGCAGTGTCTTCCTAATAACAACTAAAAATAAAAAAACTGTGGTAACCAAGCACGGCAACTATAACAAAAATCTTCCCTATGAGGCAATCATAAAAAGGCGAAAATGCTCTCTTGAAGAACTATAGACCGATTTCTCTTCTGAGTCTACGTGCTGTTTTCGAGAGTCATTATGAATTGTCTCGCACGCAGACTCGACGACTTCTAGCCTCCCGAACAAGCCGGTTTCCGAAAAGCCTTTAGCACTATAGATCACATTCATACCCTTTACAGAAGACCAGAGTATAAACTGCCTCTTTGTCTTGCGTATGTAGACTGTGAGAAAGCCTTTGATTCCGTCGAAATGTGGGCGGTGCTGCAGTCGCTTCAGTGGTGCCAAGTTGACAGCCAGTATATCGAAGTGCTGAAGTGCATGTGCTTGTAGTAGGGCTATGATGGCTATCCGAGTACAGAACCAGAGGACGAAACCTAACCAACTGCAGAGAGGTGTAAAGCAGGGTGATGTTATATCCCCGAAACTCTTCACCGCTGCATTGGAAGACGTTTTCAAGCTACTAGATTGGAAAGGATACAGTATTAACGATTACCTACGATTTACCGACGACATACTCCTTATATCAGAATCACTGGAGGACCTAAGCACTATGCTCAATGACCTCATTAGTGTTTTCCAATGGATAGGTCTTAAGATGAATATGGACAAAACAAAAGTCATGTGTAACGTCCATGTCACATGCAATAGTTGTTCGGAGCATTAAGCTCAAAGTTGTTGAGGAGTATGTTTACCTGTGACTAATCCGTCCATCTAGGTAAGTCCAACTTCGACCGAGAAGTCAATCGACGGATTCATTTCGGCTGGGCAGCATTCGGGAGATTTCGACACATCTTCTCGTCAGGCATACCTCAAAACCTCAAAACAAGATTGTACAACCAGCATGTTGTGTTGCCAGTGATGACCTATGGATCCGAGACGTGGCCCTTCATTGCTGGCCGTATGAGGCACCTCAAGGTCACTCAGCGAGCTATGAACAGGGCTATGCTCGGGGTTTCTCTACGTGATAAACTTAAAAACTAGGATATCCACAGTAGAACCAGACTAACCAACATAGTCAATTGTATTAGTAAGCTGAAGTGGCAATGGACCGGCCATATAGCTCGAAGAACCGACAAGATATCGGAAAGAAAGGTTCTCGAGTGGCAGCCTCGTATCGGCAGGCGAAGTGTAAGGCGTCCCCCCACTAGATGTAGTGACGACCTGATAAGACATGTAGGAAGTCAATGGATGCAGGTAGCTCGGGACTGTGTTTTGTGGCATTCCTTGCAGGGGGCCTATGTTCAGCAGTGGACTTGTGAAGGGCTTTAATGATGATGAATGTTGAATGTTGAACATTCATATTGTTTGATAAAAATTGTAATTTTTAGAAGTAGAAGAGGATCAAAAGAAGAACAATGTTCATGTACCTCCTAATCAACTTTCATCTGATACTGACAATCAAGATGACAGTCAAGATAGCAGTGAAAGCATTAAGCCCAATGCTATTTATGAAATTGTTCAAGCTGTGCGGAAGGAAACACAATTGAGTCATGAAATGTCGAAAGTTGCTGTGGAGACAGTCTTAATTTCTTTAAGGGTATGGTGAAATCTATTTATTAAAAATATTACTTTGAAAAAAACTCATGCAATTATTAGTTGCCTGTTCTTTCCAGTACAAAGTTTTGTCTTTCTAAATGGTTGTTTATGCAAACAAATTCTTATTCTGTTTCTGATACCAATAACATCCTGCAGCCACTCATTGTTACCACAATAATTATTGTAGTTTCATGCTAATGTTGTCTCTTTACTGATGTTACAGTTTCACCAGCTATTGTAGCAAATAAATTGATGATTATCATTACTTTCCAAAAGAGTGGAGTTGTTTTCTAGTGTAGTATGAGAGCACTGAAGTTTCTCTACCAAACAATGTTTTAGTGAAACTGGGATCCATGTCTATGAGCACTTTTAATTCTTCTATATTTATGATAGGAGGTCCTAGACGATGTTCATCAGACAGAACGTAATTTACATCCTTAAATCTTCTGAACCAATGTTTGCTGGTATTAAAAGATCACGACTTAGACCATTATTTACACTTTTTATGTTATGCACTTAGGACTGCTTCGCATAACATATATGCAAGTGATGCCATCGCTTTTCGATCGAAGTAAATATTTAACTAAACTTAAATTTGTTCGAAAGCTTTTTATTTATATTTTTAATGTCATGTTTCGATTAAAAAGCAATAAATTTAGGTTAAGTGAGCTTTCTTGTAAATAAAAGTAATATATAATTATTATTACAGCCCATTACAAGTCCACCGTTTAACATAGGCCTTCAAAGGAATGCCACTAAGCACAGCCTTAAGCCACCTGCATTTAAATACTCTCTTACATCTGCGTCATCGTCGTCACAGCATTTAATGGCTGGCCTCCCTACACTTTGCTGCCGTTAGGACAACGTTGCACGAGTACCTTTTATTATTTACAGTCATAAAAATAATAATATGGAATTGTTATCTCTACTTGTTTCTAGTGGTAAAATTTATAGCACAATTGAGCCTCCGGCTTTGACTTCGGTCAAAAACATAGGACAGGAACTTTGGTCGGACAGTATAGAATGTTTTGATATCCTGGGGTGATATGTATTTTTAAATAATTTTCTTTGTTATATTTCAGGAATTTCTCCCTGGTGGTGCTGCACGATCTATTATTGACGCACTCCTCCGAGAAGCTAATAGTAACATAACTTGTCCCAAAAATGCTATCGATGCGGCGCCTGACGCTTTACGCATAATGACAGCTTTAAATTCCTTATCAAAAGCAGCAAACGACGCCCAACAGAGAGGGTGGGCGTTGCATGATGACGCTCATGACATTCAGACACAATTGCTTGAACTCATCTCCGTTATGGTATGCTTTGGTTATTTTTGTGTTTTCTATGGCAGTTTTGAATCTTTCTCAACCTTTAATTTACAGACTTCAATGAGATTCAAATAAGAATAGCAACGTCAATGACCTCAAATGACCGCGATCTGTTAACTGTCATTTGAAAAGTACGGCTTGCAAAGAAAATTCATTTGTGTATTAATAACGTATTTTTTTCGCTTTATTTAAGTATTAACAAATCTATAGAACTCATAATTATTTTTAAATACCTACATAAATCCATTCTCTATATTTATAAGGGAAAGCAACAGTGATGGTAATGATGACTACCCAGATAGTGATGCAGAGATGAGCGAAATTGAAATGCTAAATTCAGATTAAAACGATAATGTGTTTCGTTGATGGTTCTTCTATACAAATAAATAAAATTGAAGTGTCTGTTTGTCTGTCAAAATAACAGCTTTTTACTAAATCCATATGAAAGTATATACGGTACTTATAACAAAAACACAATTTTTAAAATTTTTGTCTGTCTGTCTGTTTGCTCCGGCTAATCTCCATAACGGCTGGACCAATTTCGACAGGGCTTTCACTGACTGATAGCTGATGTTATAAAGAGTTACTTAGGCTACCGTAAAATGGGGTGAATAGAAATCGCGGAGTGAATAGACACAAGTCTGGTTATTTGATAAAGTTGTCCTTAGGTTTGTCTACAGCTCGGGAACGTCTGTTTATTTCTACTGTTTATTATAAGGCAGCATTTTTCCTTTATTCTGGCAACGTTTAAATTTTTGTCAATTTTGATGACAGTAAAGAAAAAGGCGGTTAATATAAACGTGTGAGTACAAGTGATTTAATGCTGTGTAAAACTTATTTAAACATTAAGTTCTTCAGTGTTTTCTTTTTGCGATTTGTTTATTTAGAGAGTTAAGTTTCTCATTTATTTATTAACACAAAGGTGAGTATCGATACTCAACGATCTTATTCTTTTAAATGGTAAAATCAGGATACTGGTATTTTTTAGCGAATTCGAGGTGAATAGATACGACTGATGGGTGAATAAAAACGCCTTTGGGGTTAATAAGAACGAAGAAAGGGGTGAATAGATACGAATTAGGGGTTATTAGATACGTAAGAGGTTAATAGAAACATGATTTATAGGGTTGTCAAAACTATTTAAACCATTTATTTAATACTTAAATAAATTAAGAAGCTAATTGAAACTATAACAAACGCTTAAACTATCATTTCTATTATAAATGTTAAATTTGGAAATTTGTTATACATTTAAATCTCAAATGCTTGAGGTTTTACCATTATAGCAAATAGAAGTTCCTGCAGCAAATACATTCAGTTTGCTCATATGAATTAGTTCTATCTAGTAGGTAAATATATAATTCGTTATATTTGTTAGTTGGTTAATAAAACATAATATATTTTAACAGGTACACAATATCGCGCTAAATACACTATGCCGCGTGTATATAAGCCAAATCCTTGTGGCAAGAGATATAAAAAATATCCCAAAGAACTCCTTGAGCAGGCTCTTCGAGATTATTGTAACGGTAGTGGTTCCTTGAGTGAAATTGCTCAAAAGTTTGGAATAAACAAATCTGTTCTCTACAGGCATAGCATTAAAAATATGAAGACACAAGGTGGCCAGACATTTCTATCTAAAGAGACCGAATTAGCATTTATAAAGTACATTAACTTATGTGCTGGATGGGGGTATCCTCTCGAAACTTACGATTTGAGATTGAACTGCGGTCTCTTCAGGCATTATAAAGAGTACTTTGCACAATTAAGGATATCATTAAATGATATTCCGATTGATAACATTGTAAACTACGATGAGACAAATTTGGCAGATGATCCTGACCGAAAACAGATAATTACTAAAAGAGGAACGAAATACCCAGAGAGGGTAATGAACCACACTAAAGCAGCTGTATCAATTATGAAGGCCTGTACGGCTGCAGAAGAAGGCCGTTTCCCTTTGTCGCCTTTTACGACACCCACGGGAAGATATGGGTTAGTGGATATTCTTGACCGCCACTACACGGCTAATACTATGGATATAGTTGAACCTAAAAGTAAAAAAGCTTAATGTTCAGGCAGGAAGGAGTGTATTAGGATCAAGTGAAGAATACTATATTGAGACTGAGCCAGAAAATTAGATTGTATCTATTTCACATCAAATAGATTAAAATAAAAAGCAAAAAGAAAAAGTAAGTGCCGACAAAGTCACTAAAGGAAAGGGCAAAGGAAAAAAATCAAAAAATGTACAAGAAAACAATAACAAAGAAAACTATACACTAAAAGTTAAAAATGGAACTGACCAGGTAGTTGCAAGTTGTTCTTACAATGTAAACACTATGCCTATAATTTTTGAGGACGATTTAGATGGTATTGGGCAGATTGAAACATTAGTAGAGAACTGTGGATATTCATTAGAAAATCAAGACGGGATTCAACAGAAAAACACTAAGGTTGAAATCCTCTCTAATGTTCTTGTGAGCAATGTTGATTTAAAGAAAATGTTTTATATGAATAAGGCAGCCACGACGTCCAATCAAATTAACGCACATAACTTGATCAGAAAAAGTGGTTCTAGACGAACCAGCTATTATATGAATGATGCTGAAATTCTGAAAGATTTGATGGAATTAGATTAATAGGAGTAAATCCAAGGGTATTATAGTACACAGTACAGTTTAGTTTAACAGCGACGCTCGTTATATCAGTTAAAAAAGTATCTAAGCGGCGCGGAATAGGTGACGCGAGTTATCAGCCCAGAATCCCGCAATTACATCAATTGTCTTTTATATTTAGCGCTTACGTAATTTTCTAAATAAATAATAGTGACTTTAGATCTCAGCTCGTAACCTACTAAAAAAAACCAAAGGTTTATTATATTATCTATAGTTTAAGTAATTTTGTAGTATTTATTTATTTTTCAAAAAAAAAATAATATGTTGATAATAAACTTCATTATATGTAAACAGTTGCCTAGTAATTTAATGGCGTTATGTTAAAATTGCTTACGCTGCAAAGCAGTTAAATTACATATTCATATATTTTTAAGTTATAATATGCAATTGATTAAAAAGTCTGATTTATTAACTACTTATTTTTTTAAATGACAATTTTCTTGTATTTTATTTGACTCACAACTTCCGTACCTAAATACTACAACAGAAGCACATTTGACAACCCTAGCATTTTTTCTCTATTCACCCCTATGTTATTATTCCCTGGGATATAGAAACCGACTACTTTTTTCTAAAATACAAAGAATTTGCATGTTTTTACTCGTTTGAAGCATTAGTTTTTGATAAACTACGACAAGACTCACAACATCAAAGTTATCAGCTTGCATACAAAATATGTAAGAAAAACAGTGTAGACGTTGAAAGTTGTGTCTATTCGCCCCATTTTACGGTACTTATATTTTAGAAAAAGAATTAGGGTTCCGCGCAACATAATTAAAACCCTAAATTACACGCGGGCGAAATCGCGGGTAACAGCTAGTTTATAAATAAATATAATTTCAAAAATATCTGTTTCGTTCATCTCACCTAACTGATTTGAGAGAAAATGTTTTTCATAGGGAATTTCATAAATATACAGTTGGCTTTACTCGTAACTTTTAGAGAGACTCGCGTCTTGGATCAATTTTCATCACATATTTTCTTTGCTTGATTTGTATGAGTATAAGGTAATAATCATCCATACCATCATCTATAAAAGTCAACTGCTGGGTCTCTGTAGTGGTAGGTTTGGATGGTAGGATGATGGACAATCTATATAAAATAGAAGTGGGTAGATTGACGATCACAGTACCAGATGTCACGTACGTATGGCGCTGCTGCCCGTTGCCACGACTGACGTAAACAAGATGGTTATTCTCTCCATCATCTACTTCTATTTACAAGTCAATAAGATGTTTCTGACATTTGATAAGATGAAACCAAATAACAGAATACCAGCGTAAAATAGCAGCTTAACACTGCTGTGTTTCGTATGGTGAGTGTAGAGAACCGGAGACCCTTTTTACTGGAAAAGAGGCATTACATCTTAGTCCTCACGGGTGACAACGCATCTGCATTTTGATTCGCAAACGAGGATAAATGTAGATGTCTATGGGCTACAGCAACCACTTACCATCAGGTGGACTGTGTGCTCGTTTGTCACCCTATCCTATAAAAAAAAATTAAATGGGGTGATGGATTCTCTCACGAGCCGCCACAACGCAGAAGATAATAATTGAATCTTGTGATTTATTCTTCGCTCGCTGTTAATGGAAATATGATGACAATAACATAGGTATAGCTGACTTGAAGCACCGATGTTCCGAAGTCTGCAGTGTGTGAACATGTTCAAGATCGTCCCCGCCATTACATTAGATTTGATAGAACACAAATCCTCGCAAAGGAACACCGATTCCTACCAAGGATGATTCGCGAGGCTATTGAAATTAAAAGCATCCTAATTTCAATAGAGAAGATGGATGGGTGCTGCCATCTGCTTGGGATCCTATAATTAATTAAGTTAAATCCAAACCCAAGCATACCACTGCAAGACTTCAAAATACTGTAAGCTCATTTTGCATAGATCGGACTAAAAATTAATATTCAAAAAGTGAAGGTTAACTATGACATCGGACGTCAAACACCTCAGTCCCCCCCGCCCCATGACCACCCGAAACGACCATCCGAAACGTCGGGAATTATAAAGTTAAATTTAACGCGATAAAATCCGTAAAAATTAGTTTCATTTAATAATGACAATACCATTAAAAATTTAATGCATTTTTTATATTACAGTCAAATGCCGATGTAAATATCTCACAGCATGTTCTAAGCAGCCATCGCTACGCCTACGTGACCACTTTGGTCCAGTATTACCAGATGGAAACACGTTGGCCTCTACGACAACTCTTGCTGCAGGTATTATTTAGAGTGTTGTTGTCTCTTTTTAAATCACTCTATCAATACACTTAATTTATTTGAGCTGTGGTAGAGGTTTCAAGAGTGGCAGCCTCTTACCGGTGTAGGACGGCTTCTCACGCAGGAAGTCGATGGATGGAGGTGTCTCAGCAGTGTGCTTGTGTAATATTACTTGGAGGTGGACTGTGTTCAGCTGTGGACTTGGGAAATGCTCAAACGTAATCATACCTAAGGTTAAATCCACCAACATGTATTGGAACAGCGCAATGAGCTCTTCCTGCTCTTAAACTTTTAACGTGGTAGAGCCATGCTGCAGCTATATTAATAGTATAGTTGTAGCACGAATGGGTCGGCTCGACCGGGGAAGGACCATGCTCTCACAGAATACCAGCGTAAAATAGCAGCTTAAAGCTGCTGTGTTTCATATGGTGAGTGTAGAGAACCAGAGACCCCTTTTACTGGAAACGAGGTATTCCATCTTAGTCCTCACGGGTGACAACGCATCTGCATTTTGATTCTTTATTGAGGATAGATGTAGATGTGCTCGTTTGTCACTCTTATGCTATAAAAAAAAGGTTTTGATGATTCTTATTTATTATATATTATTAAATAGCCTATACTGCAGTGGTAGTCCCATATATATTTGGAGAAATGGTTCCACCCCTATGGGCAGCAAAATAGGTGGTAAAGCTTTTAATGGAACATTTAGATTGTGATGTTCTTTAGTCCAAACAAAATATTTAATAAATTAACTTTTAAATAAAGTATAAAGCACTTCAAAGAACTAAAAGGATAAAATAATTCCACATCACTATCTGAAGTTGGGGCTTTATTTCTTCTATACTATGTCTTCCCTACCTACTTCAGAATGTAGTGTAGTGGCATCCTCGTACCGGTAAGTGATATGCAGGACGGCCCCCCACTAGGTGGAGTGACGACCTGGTAATAGAATCAGAAATTCGATGGATGCAGGCGGCTCAGGACCATGCTTTGTGGCATTCCTTGAAGGCGGCCTATGTTCAGCAGCGGACTTTTGAAGGGCTCTAAAGCTTTAATGATAATGATGATGATGATTATACGCTCTTTACGTATATCGAATCTAAATTTATAATCTAATATTTTTTGTTCCGTAATTTAATTTGACTTAAAATGTATAGTGATGTCAATCTATGTCATCGTTGCATCAACTCTACTATTGGTAGTCGCAATATTTAGTAACTTATGGTATTGCTAGTTTAGGCGATGGGTGGTGTTATAGGTGCGGGACGTCAGATGCTTCGCCAAACGTGTTTGAGATTTCCATATCTAGCAGAAGTCTTTTAATAGAAGTAAGGGTGGCAAACGAAAACATAGTCCACCTAATGATAAGCATGGACACCTACATCTATCCGCGGATAAAAATCACAATGCAGATGCTTTAACCTTAAAGATTAACGTGCATTGTTTCGTTACCAATAACCATTTTGTATAGCGTGGGACGAGAACCAGAAACCCTTTTCGTCGTTTTGATTTTTAATTCCTCAGGGGTGACATCTTCATTATGAGTTTCTAGATGTTTATGGTGGTTGGTAAACCTCATTTTGTAAAAAAAAAATATCAGCTTTGAACACTTTATAAATATGTCACACTCTCAAGGTATGTTTGCAATTTAGGCTAAGTTTATATAAACGCGCGAAGACGCGCCTCACGGCGTGGTTGGAGTTGACGGCATATGTACACGCAGCAGTCTGGCATCTTCTCTACTCATTTTTCCTGCATCTATGCGTCAGTCCGTCTCAACTTGCTCGGATCAACTGAACAGGTTCATATAGGTTCGTAGAACTTGAACCGCGCAGTTCAAAATCTTGCGCACGGTTCGGAGCACGCCGCGCGTTATTGTGAACGATAATTGCCATTTACTTAGATCTTGTACCGCGCGGTCGGTAGTTCTGCGCGGTATCGCGCGGTCATGTGAACTTAGCCTTATGGTATGGTTTACAGGCATTCGGTGTGATGTGCGGCCTGGAGCGTACTGCGCTGGCAACACTGGCGCTGTCGGCCTTACCCGCTGAGATAGCGCGCGACATGCGCGATAATCCCCGCGCCGTCAGTCGACTATCACACTCCGCACTACTTTTGTCTATGGTCCTCTCTATGGGCGACAAATTACCAGTGACACACTTTGGTATGTTTATTATGTTTTTACTTACCCGTTTGTTGAAACAATGTTTAGTTTATCATAATAATTCCTTATACTCTCTCAAGTCGTTTGATTATTGGACTAAGCAATGGCCAAAGATATATTTTTTAATATATTTTATGCTGTTTCACTG